GGACTTTTTCGCAGCATTTCAGACAACTCTGTTCCTCCCGTGGGGGCGCCAATCGGTACTCATCACTGCCCCCGTCCTGACAACAACAACACCGTAGCAACGAATTCAACTCAATTTTAATTTAGATCTTTCCGATTGACTTATTGATGTAGATGGATGCAAAAATGTCGGATGACAGAAGACCAATAATATCAGTGGGCGGACTAGATGAAAGCGGTTCTGAAAACGAATTTGATTCAAGAAATATAGGTGCAGATGCATCAAGTATTCTTAGCGAGGAAGATGGAGTGTTTGGAGATGTAAATGGGAAGCTTCAGGCTGCTACGCACGACTGGCTCAACATGACCTATATTATCATTTATCTTCAAGGTGTAGGATCATTACTTCCTTGGAATTTCTTCATTACCGCTCGGGGATATTTTGAAATGAAGTTCAAAGGAGATGCCAATATACAGAACATGTTTGAAAGTGCCTTTTCTGTAGCAGCAATGATACCAAACGTTTTGTCTCTGCTTGTTAACGTCTTCCTAACAAAGCAAGTGAATCGAAATCTGAGAATGCTCACGTGCCTTTTCGTAACTCTCGTGTGTTTCATATTAACCGCAGCCTTTGTAAGAATAGACACATCATCATGGACGAAAGAATTCTTCGGAGTAACCATTGGAATTGTTGCACTTATAAATATGGCCTGTGCAATTTACGGGGGAACATTTTTTGGAGTTGCAGGAGTTATAGGGCAAAAGTACACCCAGGCAATGATGGGTGGACAAGGGCTTGGTGGGACTTTTGCAGCCCTGGCAAGCATACTTTCTTTAGTAATAGGGAGTAAACCAGAGGACAGTGCATTTGGGTACTTTTTAACTGCGGTCATGGTAACTCTAGTATGCCTTGTTGCATACTTCATCTTTTTCAGGCTTGCTTATGTCAAGTATTGCTTGAACAGAAATGAGTTCAGATCATTGCGTGGGAGCCAGGCTAGCACAAAGCCATCAATCAATGCATTAACTGCAAGTTCCAGCAGTCTTTTAAGTGTTACTAGCTTGGGAAGCAGTTTTAGCTCTACACAATATCCCATCAGAGAGAAAACACCATACTTACAGATTCTGAAGGATTTGTCTCCAATGTCATTGTCAGTTTCATTTGTGTTTGTGGTCACACTCTCACTGTACCCTTCAGTTGTGTCTGGTATTCAGTCAGTAAATAAGGACAGTGGTGATGACTGGACAAACTCATTGTTTTCACCTCTGGTTTGCTTTCTGTTGTTTAATGTTGGTGATTTAACAGGGAGAACTTTAGCTGGAATTGTCCCATGCTTCAGCGAAAAAAGCATTTTGTTGCGGATCCTTTGCATTTCACGAGTGGTATTCATACCACTCTTTGCATTATGTAATTACAGTCCAGATCACCGAAGATTCCCTGTCTATCTAAAACATGATGTTTATCCAGTTATAATAAATGTTTTCTTCTCTATCAGCAATGGATATCTTAGCAGCCTTTGTATGATGTATGGTCCCAAGTTGGTCAACCCAAAGTATGCTGAAGTTGCTGGAACAATAATGGCACTGTTTTTATCACTGTTTTTATCGTGTGGGTTGGCTCTGGGAGCTGGTCTTTCATTTGCAATTACAGCAATAATATTGCATTGAAACTGACATTTTAATGCATAAACAGATATTATCAAATTACATAAAATAAATGAATATACACATATGACTGAAACACATAGAGTTTTCCAAAATGTGATTGATTTTGCTATTTTCATCCAATTGTATTAAATTTGCACATATAACCATTGGGGTTTGGGATAGATTGCAAAAGACCTTAAAGGCAACATTGTTCTATCCACAAATTGGAATGACAGTAGAAATTTTGAAGTAAACAATTATTTTTTGATAGATGTTTATTAACAGTTGTGCTCAAAAGTGAGGGATTATTTGGATTTGGGAGAAACACTCTAAATTAACATTCAGTATATATATATTACTTCTGTTGATGTATTAAAGGTGATCAATGGATGATTAAGTGGTGCCATCTTTCAAAAGGCAAATAGCCAATCAGTGAGCATAATAACACTCCCATACTTATTGATTGGTTAATATTGGTTAACAGATGACTTAAGTTATTTTAATATCGGTCATGCCTTCAAGTTCTATCTCAGTACAGTGGGATTTAAATTCCTTGTGTCTCCAAACAACTTGAAACTGAGACACCAGAAATTGGTACAAGTATAGGTCCAGTAGTTCTCTTGTTAGATTGTATTAGTTCCCTATTTTATGTGTAGCCATTTTTTAACTAATTTAACACCATTATGTTGTTGGGATTATATTGAAAGTGTTAATTCTGTGATGTTTAAAAATGCTAGTAGAGATTGAAATTCAATATTAACTATTTTAACTATTCTACCATGCAATTCTTCTGTTTTTTGCTATATGTGTTTTCAAGATATTTAGAAAAAATAATAAGGTACACTTTTTGATTCATAAATTGTTTATTTTCAATGAATTAATCAACTCCCCTTGTGTTTTCATCTATCCTCAAATTTGTTTTTGTGTGTCTTTCAAGAAATATTTATGGTCAGAAAGCAAACACCTAAGCTTACTAAAGAAACTCTGTTGTGTGGCTCGCTTCATAAAGCTTAGAGCTAGGACAAAAGAACAATGATTTGGTGGTAAGAAAGGAGTGTGCTCTTGCAAACTGAATAAAAGGCTTAGGTGATTGTTCAATTTACATTATACCTATTATGAAGGTCTTTACTAGTTTGGACATCATCACTGAGCCACTCTTTTGCTCCCAACTCAATTAGGGCCAAATAAAAACTATGCTAGCATACTGAAGCTCACATATCTACTCCCTGAGGAAGAAATGAATTAATAAAGCTAACAAATGAATTCTTTGAATCTGAGTAAGATAGTCCCCTCAGAAGACATTGTGACATCCCTCATCAAATCAGGTCTTCTGTTATCACAGGAAGCAAGGATTGGCCATTGGTTAATTGGCACAAGTCGCTCCACCTAGCCTATATAAAACCCTAAACCTCTAAATACATCTTAATTAACTCAAATAGCTAAGCAATATAAATTCTGGACAAGAAAAGTTCACTTTTCCCAAAAATTTCACCTTTGCCCCCCCCTATTGTACTACCTTGGCTACGATACTGATAAAGTGCATTACTTCTCCTTCAAATAGTTGCTTTTTTGGACTCACACTTCCAAATTCATTCAAAACCATTAATCAAGACTTCAACTGAGCTAAAATATTGATATCATGTTTTAAATTGCCTTAAAATCCCATTCTTTGCTTTTTGGGCTTGACATAAGGAAATATTTTGAAGTGATCTTTGGCTTGACTCCCTTTGAATTTTTTGCTACCAGGAATGCTCCTGGGTCAAGATTTATAAAATTGAGTCAGTAGAGAAATCAAGGCAAGTAGAAAAATAAAATTGTATGTAAGGTCATGAAAAATAGAACGAAAAAATAGTATTTTGTAATATTTGTTCTTAATAAGCTTTTCAATTCCAGCGTTTGTTTTCTATTTGATATTAAATCGAAACTTAAAAGTTTTAAAAAATAAAGACAAAAAATTGTTAAAATTACGAAAACAAAAAGATGTTTCTGAAGCTTTGTTCGTAATTCATATATAATCGGGCCAGTAAGGAGTAAAGATTTCTTAAAATGGAAAATTTGGTAGCTGGTGAGCAATGAATAAAGTATTGGAAGACAAATTTCAAAACCAACACCTACGTTTTCCATAGATCAGCAGAAATCTATGTCTCTGTTGATTGTTTGTGGTAAAATTTTGGACCATACTCGAGGCTGGTCACATGGGCACGTTTTTTCAAACGAACTACTGTAATTCACAAAGAAGATAATCTATACATATAATAAGATAACAATTAGAAACTCTGCGAGAGACTACATATACAGGCACTTGGTCTCTGTTAAATCGAGGGCACAGGGGCGTTGCCCCACTTTTCAGAAGAAGAGATTAAATGTTCTTTTCTTGCTACTTGGTTGCCCTTGAACAGTGACTTAGTTCTCTTACAGTCAGTTTGTAGAAAAAGAGGCAAGAATATTGATTCAAGTACAATGAATACATAAATGATATGCATTCTTATAGAAATGAAAGTGCTTAAGCCACAAGCATTCGCAGGCTAAAAGACAGCAATTAGATGGGCATGAGATATTCTCACAATGATAGAAGAAAAAAAAGGAAAGAAAAATAAAAAAAAGAAGGAAAGAGAACAACGGAGGAACGGAGGGAAGAGAGAGTGATATCTCAATGACGATTCTATTGCTGTATATTCGGATTTAGCTCGAATGCTTGTGGTTCGCGCATCTCGATGTCAGTTCGTCTACGTAAGATGAATACATTTTTAAATGTTTATTTCAGGTCTGTATTCTGAAGTCAATAATTCTTGCCTTTTTCTACAAAACTGACTGAAGGAGAACTATAATCCTTGTTAAGGGGCACAGTAGGGGAAAAAGAACATTTAAATCTCTCTATGCTGAAAAGTGGGGCAACGGGCCCTGTGCGTCGATTTTAACATGAGACCAGTGCTGTTATGTATGTTCTGCAGAGTTTTGATTGTTGATCTATTATATGTATGATTTATCTTGGTCTTTTGGTTTGATGTGAAGTTAGTCTTGTTTGGAAAAACGTCATTGCCTTGTGACCAAGCCTCTGAGGTATGGTCAAAATTTTTTACACAAACGAATAACAGAGACATAGGATTTCTGCTGCTCATATGGAAAACTGTAGGTTGTTGGTTTGAAATTATGTCTTCCAGATACTTTTTCATTGCTCACATACAGCTACAAATTTCCATTTAAGAATCTTTAACTCCTTATTGCTCGATTATATATGATTACTGAACAAAGCTTCAGAACATCATGTTTTGTCGTATATTTTGACAATTCTTATTTTGCTTTATTTTAACTTTTAAGTTTCGATTTAATAATCAAATGTAAAACAAACGTGAATTGAAGAAGCTTATTAAGAACAATATTACAAATACTGATTTTTTCGTTCTAGAATTTTTTCATGACTTCATACAGATTTTATTTTTTCTACTTGCTTGTTTATTCTACTTGACGTAATTTAATTAATCTTGACCCAGGAGCATCTGGTAGCCAAAAATTCAAAGGGAGTTCTAAGCCAAAGATCAGTTAAATATTTCTCTTATGTCAAGCCAAAGCAGAAAGTGGGATTTTAAGGCAATTTTTAAAACATGATATCAATATTTTTCGGCTCAGTTGAAGTCTGATTAAGTGGTTTGAATGACTTTGGAATGTGAGTCCAAAAAGCACTATTTGAAGAGAAGTAATGCACTTTATATCAATATCGGTAGCCAAGGTAGTACAATGGGGGGGCAAGGTGAAATTTTTTGGGAAAAGTTGACTTTTCCTTGTCAGATTTATTGCTTATGGCAGTTTGGTTAATTAAGATGTTTTATGAGGTGTTAGGGGTTTAATATGAGGCTAGGTGGAGGACTTGTGCCAATTAACCATGGCCATACCTTTTGCCTTCCTGTGGATACACAGAAGACTATTTGATGAGGGATGTCACAATGGTCTTCTGAGGGGACTCTTTCTTTACTCAGATTCAAGGAATTCATTGTTGTTTAGGTTTATTATGTTAATTGTCTTCCTCGGGAGTAGATATGTGAAGCTTCAATGATGCTAGCATGTTTTATTGGCCTAATTGACGATTGGGATGCAAAAGAGTGGCTAGTGATAGGTTGTCAAACTGAGTAAAGACCTCATAATAGGTATACTATGTAAATTGGAACAATCAGCTAAGCTCTTTTATTCAGTTTGCAAGACACACTCTTTCTTATCGAACAAATCATTGTTCTTTTTTGTCCTAGCTCTAAGCTTTATGATAGCGAGCCACAGCACAGAGTTTCTTTAGTAAGTTAGGTGTTTCTTTCTAGAACCATAGATTTTTTTGAACGACCACAAAACACTAAATTTGAGGATAGATGAAAACCAGGGGAGTTGATTAGATTCATGGAAATAACAATTTATGAATCAAAAGTGTACCTTATTATTTTTTCTAAATATCTTGAAACCTAGAAAAAAGAAGAATTGCATGGTAGAATAGTTAAAATAGGTAAATATTGAATTTCAATCTCTACTAGCATTTTTAAACATCAGATTTTAACACTTTTCAATATAAACCAACACATATGGTGTTATTAGTTAAAAAGGCAAGCATAAAATAGGGAATAATACATTAGACAAGAGAAAACTGGACGCTATTGTTACAATTTCCTGGTGGTCCTCAAGTTTCAAGTTGTTTAGAGAGAACAGGATATTTAAATCCCCGCGTCTGAGATAGAACTGTGGAAGGCAATGACCGATATTTAAAAATAAGCTTAAGTCTGTTAACCGTGAAATTTGGAGACCATCAAGTGGTGGGAGTGCTGTAGCTTTAAGGATGCTACTGATATTGGCTGTGCCAATTTGAATCAGATCAGATGATGCGTAGATCATCATGGGATACTAGTAATACCAACGATACACTTATCGAATACTGTAAAGTACGCGTGTATTAGTAGGTGCTTGTCGTGAT